CCCCCGAAAAAAACAAACAAAACAAAACAAAAACAAAAAAAACCCGGTTAAATCGAGGAAAACCCAGCAAAACTGCAGAAAACCCAGCAGCCCCGTAGACTTCGGTTTAAATGGACTTAAATTTCTTTCTATTGTTCCTACTTTACCAAGTACGGTAAGTGCAGCTCTCTTCCAACAACAGCTTCAATCTGAAGGGTTCAGTGGGAGTCAGGCGTAGTCACAAACTGGAAATCATGATGATATCGATTTGAAAAGCTTGTACGTGTAGTTTTGTAGTCTCGTAAATTTCTCATTGACTGATGGTTTATTGCTCTTGTTGGTTGAATGGGAAGTCAAAAATAGTATGTAATCAATGAGCATTTGAACAGACATGCAGTTGTGAGTCTACAAGTACAAGCTGTTAGAATTTATAACCTCGTGAATACCAATTTGTGATGTCACCCGCTTTTTCATACAACCTTTCTTCATTTGTAACTCACTAGTCTGGCACAGTGGGTGGTTGGCGAGTGCTCTGGTATGGTTTGCTTCTTTTTTCCTATCAAACTTCTATCGTTCTATCTCCCTTCCTTCTTTTTTTGTGTTTGTTACTCTCTTGTAACACCTCTAATCTTCTTCTGCACTAATATGACCTTATTGTGATGCAAGTGCTGTAAAATACTTACTAAAACTATTTTTTTTAAACTGGTCTGGCACAGCTGTGTAAAAAGCTTCTGACAAAAAAAAAAGAAAGGGAACATAGAATAAAATCAATTCAATGACAGCTGACCTTAGGGCTAATCTCACTTGGACTTATACATCAAGTGCTACAATAGGACTCTCATGACAAATGAGTGCCCATGCTGAAATGCTGGGGCACTCCGTTACCTTAGTTGGTATCATGCTGAACTTCGGAGAGGATGGCCCGGATTGGAATCTCAGACTGAGTGCTCTCGATTCAGATCATTTTGTGGAGTTTTCAAGGCTCCCAACCCATTTGGCGGGGTCATATCGAAGACGCATTAAATTCGGAGGTCCCACCTTTAAATAAGCTAATTAGCTTTGATAGTAGCGTTAAGTTAAACCCTTACACTTAAACTTTACTCACAAATTTTAAGTATGGAAACATGGTTGCTCTCATAGCATTGCAATGAATATTAACAGAACTTGCATTTTCCCACCATCAAACACAAAAGAAGAGATTTTGTTAAAGAGTGCTGATTAAACGATTTTTATCTGGCAGTAACCATCTTTTCCTACGAATCGGCCTCATTTAGTAATTCCAGTTCCACCAAGACATACATACAGTATTGCAACCTCTCCCAGGTGCACACAGCTGACATAGAAAAACTATTGCTATCACTTCTTCTGGTTGAGTCTGTGAAATACTTATAACATTAAAAGACTCTTGTGTCACAACCAACCCCCCCTCTTTAAGTCTTTGGTCACAACCGAGTGTGTGCAATAGAAGGGTGACCATTTTTTGTCCTACTAATAGGGTGAACCGGGGCAATTCCACCCACGGGGTAATTCCACCCACTTTGGACAATTTTAAGGGACAAAACTCCGCAAGTCATTTGAGGAGAGTTTTGCCACTCATGATTATTGAGTTACATCCCCTGGACTTCCTTTTCCTATTTCATCTACTTTTGAACCTGTGGATGTTGAACAGCAGCCTTCTCAAAGAGCATCCTCAAGCATCAGCAAAGTAAGTAGACCTAACGTACTTTTTGATGCTAGACCTTGTGTATTTATGGTGGATGAAAGTCTAAAGTATCTTTTAAAATCAATGAAGTGTTTATTTGTCTTCATTTTATGCACCAATAAAGCCATTATAGAAGAAAATTCTTCTGTTATGGTCATGGATCTACATAGTAGAGTTGGGGTAAATCCACCCACTTGGTGGGTGGATTTTCACAACCATACTTTCTTCGCATTGATTGTAAGTTATGATCTTCTCTTAAGTATTTTACCTCCTGTTAGTTCATTCATAGCAACCTACAAGTAAAATGTTGGCCATTAAACTTCATTATTACATTGGGGCAATTCCACCCACCTGGTGGGTGGATTTACCCCCAGATAATGTTGAGCATGAATTTATAACAATTTTGACTATTTTTTTTACAGAATGTTGAGGAATTATGTAAAGAAGAGAGCGCCATACAGCAAGGAGACAATGCAGAATGCAATCGCAGCTGTGCAGCCTGGTACAATGGGATGCCATCAACCTCAATAACACCTGCACCGTTGAGGCCAGTGACCCCAGTGGAACCAGCAACCAGGCCCAGCATAAAGGACTTTTTACTTTTTTATTTAAAAAATGTCCCCTATGTTACAAGCCAAGAGAGAAAAAACCAACCGGAAAACTGTTAAACGCCAGTATGGCGAAAGTTTGACCAGTTTTGAGTACATTCACTCAAAGAATAACAGAGGAGGAGGAGGAGAAGAAGAAAAGGAAAAAAGGAAAAGGAAAAGGAACAGGAAGGCCTTCTGTTCCCACCAGAACCAAGGCAAAGAAAACAACAGTTGTGGACTCCGTCTCAGAGTCTGAAATTGATGACGATAGTCGCGAGAAGTTCGGAGAAGGACTGTGCTACCGTTCCACTACCACTAGATGCTTCGTAGTTTGATGAATAGCCTACATGGTATACCTGCCAGCGCAGAACAATTACCTCCTTTTATTTCTATGATCTTAGCTTATGTTCACAGAGTTTATATTTCTTCAATGAGAGACACGGGGGCTCCTGTGGCCCAGAGATTAAGGTGTTCGCC